CTCAGAGACGCGCTGCTGCCAGAGAACTCGGAGACCCTTTATCCTGCTGCAGAGCAGCTCTGCCTGCAGCCCAGACACGTGGGGCTTTTACAGGCTGCAAAGGTCCATAAACATGAGAAGATAAGGGATCATACCACAGAAGGTTTGACCACAAAACCATCAGGCTGTCAGCTGCTCTTCCAGAGCATCCTGGAGTAACCTTCATCTTTGGCTTAGGGACAATCAGCTTAGGGATTTCCCAAAACCTTATTACCCACCCATGCCTGTATCCAGCAATTTACAAAGGCTGGATTTTTGGTCCTGCAGTTCCGACCTCCACAATTTATTGTGCCAATGGCTTGTGCAGCTATCCTGCAAAAAAACACTTCGTTTTTTGTTTTAATGTGGCTACCAGATAAGTTCAAATGAAGACCTTCTATTTCTTGTGTTATAAGATGCTGCAAACACTCGTTTCCAGAGGCAGCTCCTACCTTGGGGACAGCACGGTTCATCCCTGCTGCAACTAAATAATCCTCTGTAAAACCTTCCAGAACTTCGGGCATGTGTAAACTCCAGGCCCAGCCCCACAGCACACCAGAACAGAACGCAGGCTATAGCTATGCACTAGGTAGGGCATTTCCCTTAACAGCCCAAAGTCACAGAGACAGGCACATGGTAGACTTCAGTGCAAAAAAGCAACACGTAAGATGAAGTTACAAGGTTCTTCACAACATAGTGGCATTTTTTTTTTCCTCTTTTTCCAACATAACAACTAAATATTCTCATCTTCTTAGTATTATCTTGACAATCAATATGTTACACTGTCCTGGTTTGGTAAAATATTATCTTAAACTTCTACTGCTTTATACGTACTCATATAGGCACACACATGTGTGTGCCTAGTACAAATTTTTTTTAAGATCCCTACCAGCTGAAAAGCATTAAAACTGCCACATTTCTTATCACAGCACTTAAAACTGGTATTTTGTTTCACTGCATTGGACTCACCATCCCAAGCTGAAAAGTTTTTGTCTGTTGAGTCTTTCCTTCCATGGAAGCCTCTAGACAGTCTCACGACCCCTCCTGGTACTTTTTGAAAGTCCTTTTTCTTTGAATGAAATTATCATAACCATGTATGCTACTCAGAATGTAGCAGCCATGGATTTATACAGTGGCATAATTATGGCTTTCATTTTCTTCTCAACTTTTCCCCTAATAATTTCTCACACTGTAGCTGTTTGGGGTTTTCTTGGTCAGCCCTAAGTCAGTAGGTATATTACTCTGCTTTTTTCAATGTTTAATTTGATTTCACAAATTATTTTCCACTCAATTGTTTTGTTTGGAAGGATAAAGTGCATACATCCCTAAAACTAAATATGCATTTATGACATTGCCATAAATACCATTAAGAAATGAGAACAGGAGAGCTTAATGGGAGCAGTAGTAGAGCCTAATCGATTTTGGCATTTAAGAGTCTGTATATCAATATGCAATGATAAAAACTGATAAAATTAAGACAATCTACAATCAGATCAGCTCTTCCTATCTGAGGTCAGAAGGGTAGGTAGTCAAGAGAAACAGTTTCAGCCATATGAATTTAATTTGCTGCAACAGATCTGCAACAAAACTTGTCAAAAAAAAGACCTGAATCCAGACACCTCATAACCAGGCCTGAGCTCTGTATTGACTGAGAACATTTGCTTGCCTTGGACTCTGGGTGCCCGTGAACCCCTCTGGTACATTACAAATAATAAATGACAAAAACACCCAAGAGCTGTCCAAACACATTCACATGATATACATCTTACCATCTAACTGCTGAAGAGATCATCAGGACACTGATTCAAACCAGTTTCTCAATCCTGCAATAGAATACCTACCACTGGACATTGTCAGCGTATATCCTGAATTTTTTTGCAAATGAAATTACTGTTTTTGCTAATGTTAATGCTAAGGGCTAGTATACAGACTATTACTAACTTAGATACCCTTCAGATACCAAAATCACCATAACCAGGAGATATAATCTTCAAGAGCACTTCAGGATTTCACAGAAAATCTGATTATGGCAGTTGCAGTGAATCATTTTCTCACAGGCCTTTTAAAATTTAAACTTTCCACAGCTCTGTTTAACAGGTGCATATGGAGAGGTAAACCAGATAGCTGACCGGGCTTAGAGGTAAAGATGAACATTGTGCCAGTTCATCTAGTGTATATGATCCTACACACAAAACTCCCAGAGGGGCTGCAGTGATGAATTAAAAGTGAAAAAACAAAACCTGTTTAGAGAAGGCATCGAAACACTCAAACAGGGAGGGTCCTCTTTCTCCCAGATTCTTGCATTGTCTTTTCCTGATCCCACTAATCCAGTTTGCAAAGCCAAGTTGCTTGCAGCAACGTCTCAACAGAAACAAAACAATCTTTACTCAGAGAAAGGAAAGATATAATCCTCCTCCCACTATGCATTAGCACATTCATTAGCACATTTTTAATTTCCAGCAGCAAGGCACTGGCTGTTGGATTCGTACCCAGCTGTCCTGGCAGCCACAAAGTCCCTGCTGGACTGCAGCCACAAAGGGGCTGTTTTGAAACAAGCTAGCTTGGGCACCAGCAACACTACAGGCTAATTTACCCTGCCAAGAAGTTTAATGACTCACTTTTGTGGGGTTTTTACTTAAGACTGGACAGTTTACTGAAAGGTCTATACGAAACCCTATCTGAAAACATTTAATCTTTTTCCTGATTCGAATGCTGGAAAGAAATTCACCCAGAGATGCAATAGGAATCTGAGCGACACATATATACCAACATGTATATTCCTTAAAAATAGAACCTTAGAAAATGTTTTTTTAATTCTGATTTGCATAAAGAAAAGCAGTTCACTGTAAAATAACTTTTTGATGACAAACCCTATGTTCTGTTAGAAAGAGATTCATAGGTGCATATTATTGGCATTTTGGCTTATTTATTTCAAATCCCCTAATCCTGATGTAGAAATTATTCTGAGAATAGATGCCAGCACTGCTTTAGCAACACAGTTCACTTTGGGGCAATACAAACAAATTTTTCCAAATGAGTCATAGCAGTAAAACGTTACAGCTTCATCACTTAAAATACTCAGCAAATACAATGACCCACAGAACTTCATCATTCAACTACAATGACCAAAGCACCGAGCAATATTAAATTTAAAGCTAATATTTATGGTTCAGGAAACTAAGCCATAGTTTTTTTTGGGTTGGGTTGGTTTGTTTTGGGGTTTTTTTTAGAAAGAACTAACATTTCAGGGGAGTATTGCTAGAAGTATAGCAGGCAATTGCTGTATTTGCTAGCAAAGGCAGAATGCTACACTAGACATACCTGAGACAGCTCTTCTACTATATAAAAATAAACCAACAAAAGCTGGAAACTATAATACCAGCATCTTAGTTCCAAAGCAGAGATTTAGGTAGGGACAGGTTGGAGCTGATACCTACTCTGTCTTAGTAACAAAGGCTTCCTTTTAGCACATGTATTTACTATTGAGAGCAATGATATTGAAAAACAAATCTGTTTCCATGCTCAGACACCCACCCCAGCCCCCCCTCTCCCCCTCCCCTGGAAAAAAAAAAAAAAAAAAAGTAGGAGTTATTTTCCATTGCAAAAGTCAACAGGTCTTTCTGGAAGAGAGAGAAAGAGAGAGAAGGGCAAGAGCACAGCACACAAATAAATACATTTTAATACAGTTATGGAAAACTACCTGTTTTCCTGAACATCAGTTTATTTACCTCTAAAATAAGAATAATCACAGCTGTTTAGAAAAATAAGAGTTGATTATTGTATATTTTACAGTAGTTCTCTGTAACAGAATATGATTCTCCAAGCAATGCTGTTACTTGGAGAACCAGTCACATTCCTCTCAAGCAGCTGGAAAATTTGTATCTGCAATAAAATTAAGACCAAGTTTGAATCCTCCCCAATACTACCAGTCTGCAGGATGATAAAGTAGGCTAATATTAAGGAATAAAATCAGGAACAATAAGAACTGAAATAAGTAGCACACACTATGCATGTATTGTAGTACATCCACTAAGAGACTAACAGCGGCTTGATATAGTACGCAAAATGACTTAGCCACAACTGAACCCTACAAAAGCAGCAGGTCACCTGAAAACATTCCCAGGAGCAAAACCTTTTTACTCAATAGCTATCAGTTAACTTAAAGTGCCCTTTCTCAGCAGTTCTCAAAATAATCAACATCTCAAGAGAGTGTACTGTATGTCAAAACACCAAATAGTACAAACACGCATACACATAGAATTCTCATTAGATTTGAGTTTGAAAGTATTTTGCTTACAGAAACAATATTCCATGACATATAGCAAAACTGTAAAGAGCTTCTATATTAAAATGTTGCTGCCACACTTCCAATTCAGCAGATCACTTTCAAATGTTAATAATGTTTACAAAGCTTGCTTTCATTGAAATTTGGCATACCGACTCTCAAACTACAAACTACAGCTCTACAAGAAGCTGTTTGGTATTTTTTAACAAAATATTTAAACAAAACACACAGGGATATTTTGAAGAGCTATTTGCAATCTTGGATAGAATACAAAAACATTTGCTAATGTAAAAGACTATCACATCAGCAGGAGAAGCTAGAATCTTAAAATCTGGCAAGGACACAGATGTTGGGTTTCAGTGGCTCAGTTAAAACAGTTTTTGGTTTAGTATGTGATTTTTAATTAAATAATAGTCCTTGCTGACAAAATTAATATATGCCCATGTAAGCAAGTGAGAAACCCAAGTGCAGTGTCAGGATCCTGACACTGGTCAGACTGTACTTTGGCCCACTTTCCTCCTGAGTTTTCCCTTCTCTACCTGTACATGCAAACACACCTTTGCAAACACTAGCAGGCAAAACCCCTCAAGCCAGAGCATTAGAATACCCACCTGCCTTCCTATTGCCTTTCTCCTGGATGGCGAACAGTTATGGTTTCAGCAATGTTTAACTGTTTAGGTGCAGCTTTTGAGGACTGGAGGGAAAGGGGCTGCCTGGAGCAACTCACAAATTATGTCTGCTTTGAGAAATAGATCAGTCCTCAAAGTCACTATTGTAGCAGCAAATCCATACTTGTTCACATGTGCCACTAAATCACAGTGACCACGCAGACACTTTTGATGTCAGCTAAGTGGCACTGAAACCAAATTTCAATGTCTTAACTGAAAGACCATTCCATGTCTTTTCTTGTTAATAGCATCTGTTATGAATTTAATTTCTGACCTCTTCCTACTTAATAAAACATAGATGCTTTTCAACTAATATCTCAAATCAATAAACGACAAAATTAAAAGTTTCTGTAATGTTAAAACCTAAGTAGAAGGAACCAACACTCTATAAGATTAATAAAATGAAAAATAATCCAAATAGAACAGATACACACATTGGGTGAGTGCAGTAGTTGCTGACTTACTATTTCTTTACTCTCCCCTTTGCAATTTATTTCTTGGATTCTCTCCAAAATAGCCTTCTCAGAAGGTTTAACTGTTGCAGATCCACCACTGAGTAGGGTAGCAATTTTCTCTTTAAAAGCCACTAAAGATCTGTGAGCAGCCCTGGCCTCTTCTCTGCTGCTCTTCAAGCTTTCATCCTGCTCACTGGAAGATTTCTTCAGATTGTGCAGTTCCCACTTTGAGGCATCCAGATCTTTCTGGTTAGCAGTCAGTTTATCTTGGAGGTTTCTGATCTCCATCTCCAAACTCTGTTTCCCTATTATGGTGCTGTCAAGATCCTAAAATACATGAAAGATTAAGCCAGGCTTTTAAAATTTGTTATAACTCCTCCCCTCCACACACAAAGTAGGGAATGACTTAGATGCAAGTACCACAGATAAAGAAATCAGGACTCGTATTGCTCATATGGGCTCAACATCAGGGCTTCATAGGAGAACTCTGAAATAGATGGAAGCCCAAAGCCTGCTGTAATCATGCTATAGACTAACCTCTTGCAGTGGCCTGCGAGGAGGAATACATGAATAAAATTTTCATGTACACAAAAAAAGTATTTTTTAAAAAAAATATTGCTATCTTACTTTTTCATTCAGCTAATATAACTTAGAAAACAAACAGTGAACAAGATGTAACACAAATAAAGCCAAAGCACTACACCTCGGAGGGGAAAGCATAGAAGAGAAAAGAACAGAACAGAATAGAATATATCAGTTGGAAGGGTCCTACAGCAATCATCTAGTCCAACTGCTTGATCAGTTCAGGCCTGACTAAAAGAATACGCATGAAGTCTTTGAATACAGTGTTAAGAGCAGAATTAGAGATGATCTCTGAGATAAGCTTACCTGAATGTGACAAAAATTCCTGATATTACTTATACACAGAAATGGGGAGTGAGGGGCCAAACAAAAAAAATATTATTACATTAAAACAGCATAAAAGAAGGTGCATATGCTCAAATACCAATTTCACCTCAAAGAAGAAATCCTTAGATTGTGAAACACTCAGAAAAAAATTTTAGAAGGGAATTATTCTGACCAGAACAGTCACCTTCTGAAGAAAGCAAGATCCCTATTACTGTAAAGTCAAATTTGCCTGAGGAATAGAAGTCAGTTAAGAGCTGTGTCCTTCCACAGAGCCTACAACCACCCCCATCTGCTGCTCAGCGGTATGTAGAACCATGACTGGGGAAGAACTAGTGGGAGGGTGGTTCATGGTTCCATCCAATATCCTTGTAACTTTTTTTTTTTAAGGAGTCAGTCCCTTGCATTTCAGTAGTAATACACTCAAAGACAATGTTGTCTTTGGTACCGAGACAGGGTACTGCAAGATAAGGTTACCTGCTGAATAGCCCATAGGATTTACTGCTCAGGGACATCCTCACATCTTTGGTGTTTTGTCATGGCTCTCATTCTCATTCAGCCCCTGGCACCCATAATTATTTCCTTCTAAGCCCAGAGCTTTTACTTTCTGATGAATCAAGACTCGGTTTGTAAAAAGGAAAAAAGAGCCAGTACATATATATCTATATCAGTTATACATAAAATATTGACTCAACAGGGCAGAGCAGACAGACATACATGGGTATCCTGACCCATGACACAGGAGTTAATGGTGATAGAAAATAACCCATCTAAACATAAAGAAAAAATAATTTCTCTCATTCAGTCAACTTGTGAAACTCTTTCCTTTCCCCACAATACCAATATTAAGAGTGCTTACACAGTCATATACAAGAATAAAATTTGCAGTGAACCAACTAAAATCATAGCAATGACTAAGTCTTCATTCCTCAGGGTATTATCTGATTGATAGGAACAAGTGGGAAAGAATATTACTTCACACAAGACACAAAATTATGCCAGAGGATGGCATATTTATACTGACTACATTTCTCTGGAACTTTCAGTTGTTTAGTAGAGGCTCAGTAATGGATTGATATGAACTAAGATTGTGTACACTGGAGTTATACATTTTTTCCTGGACCAGCTGTAAATATGGTGACCACTCAGGTGTCTCTCGGGGTCTATGTGTGCTCACTGTGTAGCATAGGAAGTTATCTGTGTCAATGGAATACATGCCAATCAAGTAGTAAATCTGTGAGTATTTATGTAGATCAGCAGTGAGGGTGGACAAAAAAGGAGTTTGGGAGGCACCCTTGGATATAAAATAAAATAGAAATATACAATACTAAAAATACTAAAATTTTTAAATAGCTTCAGAAGGGTAAACATGGAAACACATAAATGAAAACAAACCAAAACAAACCCTGTCATTTAGGAAATGATTTGTTACTTCTCCTTTCTAAAGTAATTGTAGAACTCTCTTGGAAACAAATGTTGGCATTTTCTCTTTTTTATTTTAAACAAGTCCTATTAATAGAAAATTCCCACCTGTGCTCCGAATCACATTATGGTAATTACAGCAAAGAATAGAGAGTGGTTCATTTCAATTACAGCTTTCAGTAGTGTGCATTTTTCCTTTCAGAAAGGCAGTGCAAAAGTAGTTTGCCAGTACTAGGAAGCTTACCTAATTACAATCTTGTTTCAAATTGTGAACATCTGCAAACAAACACAGTTGAATCAAAAGATCAAGGTATAAAATAAGGAATTGCAAGCCTGTTGATGCCCAAACATTACAAAAAACCCCCCAAAAAACTACCCCAAGCAATTTATAGAATGAAAAGCCATAGAACTCAAAACATTAAAATTCTGAACAACACTCCTTGAAACCTCTCTTGAATGGAGAGCATTTACATTGACTAGCTTCAGTGAGGTCAGTCTGAACGTTGAACAGTATACAGAAATTTAGAGATGGCAACATGCAAAGGTGGTATCCCAACTAGAAGCAAACCCCTAAGAGCCTAAGTGATCAAGCAGATAAAACAATTTCCACCCCAGAAGACTGAAAAGATAGAACTGCAACAGCTCATGTTTTGTTTTTGGCTCCTAATGTCCCATGGCTCTAAATTATATGAAGGTTTCAGTATGCAGCTTGTAGGGTCAAAAAACCTGCCCAACACTGACACACAACAAATTTTAAATACAGGAATAATTATGGAAATTGATGTTTAAAGAACTATACATTAGGTGGATTTACCCAGGGTAGACCGCATCAATGACTGATTGTTAGACATAAGAGGTGTGGCAGATCTACCATGACCATGGTCACCTTTGGATGTAAAGAGCAGCACCAAAGGTTCTCAAACTACCCAAGGCCAGAGCAAAAGGGCTCCCATTGCATAGTGTCAGACTTAAAGTTACTCATTCATGCCAGGACACAGTCTACCCACGCTCACCTGCTGGCACCCTACCTGCACTAGGCTAGAGAAGATGTCAGAGTACCCAGACTATCACACAAGACACTGGCAAGGCCTCCATCATGAGAAATCATGTGTTCAATATTAGACCAGCTGCGTTCACAGAGAATGTGCTTGTGCACAGGTGGAGAAAATTACTTCTGTCTTTTAAGCAGAAAAAGAAAGGGACTCTTTTATAAGGAACTTAGGGCTGAAAGAGCTGCATTTAACACTGCAAAACAAATTGAAGAGGATCGGATCACATTAAAGAAGCACGGAAGTGAAAGAGAGGAAAAGAGAACAGATAATAACTTTTAAGTAATAATGCATATTAATACATCCCCTCACTCTGTTGATCTCAATATCTACTACAATGCAATTTTTTAAAGCTATGATAACTCTTCCTTAATATACTGTATTCTTTTATGCTTCACAAGACTTTACCTAGCATGTCCTACAAACATATAAGATTTTGGGTCTGTCACTTCGTCCAATAACCCTTTTTTAAAAAGTGGATACTAGTCAAATTAGTTACTATTTCTGAGGCAGTTTTAACTCTCAGATTTCATATTATAACTAATAATTAATCTATTTCAACTATGACATTCTTTAGAACATCTGAGCGAACACTATGTACTCTAAAGTGATTCAGGCATTCAAATTCAGCTTTTTAGAGCTATAAATTACCTCCTCTAGTTCTTTCTTGCTAAAAGAAAAAAACCCACAGAACATAAAAACATACAAAAAGCGCCACCCAAGAACAACAACGGGGGAAAAAAAACCAAACCAGCAACCAGCACAACTGAAGCAGATTTACAGAAAACATAACAGGTCTACATTCCAAAAGTACTGTAGCATTTTATCATGATTGCAAATAAACACAAATTTAATTGTTCATTTACCTAACCATATACTGCAAAAAAACCCTTTATTTTGGCTAACCCAATAGATTAAAACAGGCTGTGATAATTTTTTTCTCCAATTATTTTGCATGTATAACATTACAGAAGTATGCCACACACTATTAAAAAAAACATTACTGTGGCTTTACAGATAAGGTTACGATAATTCTGATTTTTATCTCCAGCACTAGCTTTCATCTTGACTTCTAAAGGAAAAAAAACAAACCCACAAACAAAGAAGGTACAAAAATTCTCTTTTTGTTTTTGTACTGAATTTTTTAGCCCTAGGAATGAATGGCTTTGTTCAATTTTAAACTGCTGAGCAGATTTATTTTTATTTACATGAATTTTTAAAATCTGTGGGTTCCCAATGCTAAAAAAATCCAACCACATTTTCATATTCCTTTACATATTGGAATCAAGCCTGGGTGCTTGCAAGTTTGACAATGTTCAGTTTCAGAAGCTTTGCAAAGGTTTTCCCACAAAACATCTGCAGAAGAGAGGATGGCATGAAGGTTTCCCTTTCCACTGAGCCTTCTGAACAGCTATGAAAATTTAATTAACAACCTTTCAGGAACCAACTGCATCATTTCTGTCTTTCACTGCTCCTACACACAGAATAAGTCCTAAAACAATTTCTCACTGGAAGGGAAACTGAGTCATCATTTGCTCTTCAGGTTAAAATGGAGAGCTGCAACAGATAGATCATGGCCACTTGATCACACAGTCTGTGTTAGCCAGCAGCCTTGGGGATAAACTATGTGGACATACTCCTCCTGAACACCATTCATCACCTCAGTCTTGGCTAAAGCAATGGGCGGCTGCACCAAAAATATTAGAGGAACTCATTCTCTCCTGATTCACTGTAAACCATCGTAACATTTTTCATAGAAGAGGTTATGAACTAGGCAAGCCTCTATAGCTCTTCCTTAATTACTTATCCATCAAAATTACAATTATATTTAAGTTCTGTTATTAAAATATATTGTATCAACTGTGTACATGGCATGCCATTTTAAAAAATATCAAACTAAATTATTATTTTCACAGAAACACTGTAAGAAAGATTACTCTGCTGAAAGCT